AGTATTTGTACTCGTAAAATGTCGGGTCTAACCGAATGAGACCGTTGTTGAACGTGAGTCTGCCTTCAGGGCAAGTAAAATTATCTGCTTCAGGTGGTCTTGCCATTTTTGAGAAGTCAGGTTGATAGGCATTAGATGTTGCATCATTTTCGTCTCTCATGAAAGGGTTTCCAGAAATATCGAAATATTGAAGGGATATGAGGTTCTGGATTCCTGCCGGAAGAGTACCCGTCAAGTTATTTGAGGAGAGATCAAAATATGTTAAAAAAGAAAAGTCCTCGTAAAAATCTGGGACAGATCCATAAAGTTTATTGCCTTTTAAGTCGCAAGTAGACATCTTCTCTAAGTAAAGAATATTTGCAAGTACGGGACTTTTGATGTCGCAGAAGCTTAAATTCACAATAGATGGGCTCCTACCAGTAAAGTCCACTGTTCTTCCACTGAATAGTTCCAAAAAACTTTTGAAGTTGATCGATAAATTCCTATTTCCTGCCAGGGAGACGTACCACCTTATTGGTGCTGTAACGTTTTCTGGCCACGGTTGTCCTTTGTTAATTGAGGAAAACTGGTTTTGTGACAAATCTATCATGTTAGTGGTATTTTGCAAAAGTAATTCACCCGGAATATCCCCTGTCAATCGATTGTTTGCAACATTTAATATTTCCAGACTGTTTTGTTTTGGAAATATTTGTGTAAATTCTCCTGATATGTTGTTCCCAGGCAAAACGAGGTAACGGAATTGTTGAGGCATCATATGAGGCATTTTTCCAGTTAAATGAACTCCAGATATAAACAAATCGGTTAATGAGGGAATCGAAAGGATGTCGCTTAGGTTTCCATGCATCATTCCAGGTGTGATTCTTAAGTCGAGATACCAAAGGTTTCTTAATTTAGAAATACTTCTCGGTATTTGGCCAGTTAGTTTATTTCCGCCAAGACAAAGTACTCGTAGCTCCGTCATATTTCCTATGTCTTCTGGTAAATGTCCTGTCAAGCCATTGCCTTTCATAATGCAAGACAAAAAGTTCTGCAAATTACTCATTTTCACGATTTCTTGAGGAATATCGCCGGAAATAGAAGAAGCACTGAAATGAACTGTTATTAATTTTGTCATATTTCCAAACAAAAAATCGCCGATGTGTCCTCGCAGGCGTGGGTTTCCAGTTACGCACAGAGAGAATAAGTTTCGAATTTTCCAAATGTTGTTTGGGAGGGAGCCTTCCAGATTGTTATAGGCCAACACAATTGCTTTAACGTAAGATGTGTCATTGTGACAAGTAATACCATACCATGTACAATGAGATGTGTTATTGTGTGAGCTATTCCACCCGCTTGTTTGGTACCACTGCTTCCCATTTGTAGAGGAGTATATATCTAGCAAGACATCCTTTTCTTGCGCTGGTGTAAAAGAAGTGTCTAGCGTGTAAAGGGGAAACATACGAACTCGTCGAAGACAATCTTGGCCCTCTTCCCAGAAACATTAATTGACCCAATAAAGGGTCGGTAATAAGTGAAATTTGTATATCATTTTGGTGTTTTTAGGTTGTTTACTACCATGGCAGCATCTACTGGCTACATTATACATAAAATTTGTAACCTCTACGTTACAGTAAAATATCTACGGCTGACACCAAATTCCACCAAATGCCTTTTTTCCTCATCGACACTGTTGGCACCTTCTTTAAATCTATCTTCCCGTTCAAAATTTTCATTTGTTGAATTTTCATTTTTGGAAGCGAGACGAATGAACATATCGCCTAAAAAAGTAATCAGGACACAGCTGTTCAAAGCCATCACAAAGACTGAACTGTACAAGGAGTGAATACAGTGTTTCAACTGCATTTCCTGTCTTTAAAAATCTCAAGCTATCCAATGCGTTGTTTCTATAGGTTTCAGTTTGCAGGAAAAGACTAGGAGTGGATGGCACCCCATAAAGTGTCACTACTAATAACATCAAACGTCCTTTAACTGTTTCTTGTAATTACTAGAAACACAGCATAATAGCGTAAAATATCAACATGTTTTTGTGACAGTCATAGCGTAGTTTGCAGTTCAAACCATTCTCTGCAGACCCATTTTTACTACGCAGCGTTTAAGTTTAGTTGAATTATGCAAAGTTAAGGGTCGTTATTTATAGACTGGTATCTGCAGCGTGTACCAAATCGCAATAAATGGCTCCTCTCCTCATTGCCACTGTCTGCGTCTTCTTCAAATCTATTGGCATTACCAGGTACCCTAATTTTACCAGCGAGACGACATAGGATGCCAGATAACAAACCGATCAGGACACAGGTGTTGACGACCATCACAAACCAAACAAAAAAGTTAGTGTCGTTGACATCCAGACTTGGAAATCGTAATACCATGAATGACATCGATAAGACAAACAACACAAGAGGCTCAAAGACATTCTCACTGAAAATGCCTTTGAGCTTTAGTCTTTCGTGTTGACAGTCGGTTTCTCCTTCTCTCCTACCCGGTTGCGTGTCGTATGGCCTTAAAATAAGATGAATAATCGCTGAAACCATAAGTACAAGCCAGACTACAAAGGTTTGCAAAGTAGATGACGATGGAATCATGGACAGAGCGATGGCCAGAATCAGGCGACGTAAGAGCATGACAACTTCGAAGAACGCCTGGTACTTAGGTTTGTAGGGTAAGTAGA